TACGAATTAAAAAAGGTATATTAAAGTATTTAGCCTATAAGCTTATTAAGTATTATATTTAAGCCAGTAATAAAAAAGGTAACTTAAAGATAGATAGCTATAATATATATTATATAAAGAAGCTATACTTTCCTTTAGATATACTCTTAAAAGGCATCTAGCTCTTTTAGGTATTTACTTAAGTCTTACTATATATACTAAATAATTATAGAGGTAATAATAAAAATATTAATATACCTTTATAACTATCTATAAACCCTATTTCTATATAGGTCCTTTAGATTAATAATAAACCTATTATAATATAGCTTAATATAAATATATAAGCATTAAGGCAGGGACTTAATAGAGATAATAAGCTAATTACCTTAATAGAGGCCTTATAAGCTAAAAATAGACTTATAAACTATTTAAAGGAGGGATATAAAGCTTTTAATACCCTAACTATTACTTAAAAGCTATAGGAAAGGGACTTTAAAGGCAGGTTATCCTCTTAAGATATTTATATTATAGGTCTTGCTATTCTATATAAGGTATTTAGTAACTAAAGCTAGAAATGGCTTATTAATATATTAATCTATCTTTATAGCTACTACTTATAGTATTACCTTACTAACTTTAATTAAAATATAGGTAAAGTAATAAATAAGATATATAAGGATAGGCAGGCAATACTATTTAGCTTTACTTTATATTAGGCTTAGGCTATTTAATATAATAGCCCTAATATATTAATAATTAATAATATTTAACTAATTAATATAAAGGTATTACTTATCTATAAATAAAATTACTAATTAAACCTAGCTATAATAGGATTTAATAAAGATATTAAAGACTTCTTTATTAAGAATAAAATAGATATTAATATAGGGCTGCCCCTTTTAATAAGAATAGCTAAATATCTTAATAAGAAGTTTAGTCTTTCTAAAGGCACCTTAATAAAGAAGATTTATATTTAGTAATTACTAGCAGTAATAGTAAATATCTTTAGCGCTAGTATTTATATCTTTATTTCTAGAAGCCTCTTTATATACTATAATAAGATTTATCTAACTAATAGTATTAAAAAGGAAAATAAGTTCTATATTATAGTACTTACTATTATAAATAAGGTTTCTAACCTTTTAGGAATTTATAAGGCATTATATATATATATTATTTAGCCTATCCTAAAGTCTTTCCTTATTAGTAATAATATATAAGATCTTTTTAGGGACTTAAGAGTTTTTAGTATTTAAATAGCTATAAATAGCAATTTATATAGCTTATAAAAAATATCTATTTTAAAACTACTTAATATTTATAGATCTCTATAAGGTTTTATAGAGGAGTTAAATAGTATAATAGAAAAAGTTAAGATAATACTAATCTGCTAATAGTCTACTATCTATAGATATTATAATAATAAAAACAGTAAAGATAGTATTAGTAATAAGGATAATAATAATAATAAAAGTAAGGAGAAAGATAATTAGAATTATAATTAATATATAAATTGAGACTTTAAGAAGAGACTTTAATGATATTTAATAAGAGTAAGACTTAATTATATATATAATAGGGATTAGGGTCTGTATTACCTATAAGTTTAGATAAATTATATAATATAAAAGTAAGGCCTTTATTATATATATAATAATGGGGGCCTAATTTTATATTATAATAAGTAAACCTAACCCTAATACCTTAATATAATTTAATATAGCTATACCCTCTCTATACTAAAAGCTATTTAATAATTATATTACTATCTTTTAAAAGCTTTAAGTTAACTAAATTTAATATATCTTTATTAATATAATAATAAATAATATTTTATAATATATTACTAAATAGTTTATATTTCTATTAAAAGTGCTTTTTAAATATATCTAGCTAAAGTGCTATCTTATATTTCTGGCAAATAAATATATAGTACTTATTATTAACCTTTATATACTTATTTATTACTCTTAAGTAATAGTTAGTAAATTGCAGTAATAAAATAGAATAAAGTAATAAATCCTATATTTTATACTATAAAACCCCTTTTACTATACCGCTATAAACCTTAAATATAATGCTAACCCTAACTAACCCTAAATAGAATTTTTAATTAATTAATAACTCAATCTAGTAATAAGCGATATTATAATAATATATAGCTTATAAAATTCCATTTATATAGACAATTCTATTAGAATTGTCTGTAAATAATTCTTAGGCCTAAATTATATATATAATAATAAAGACTTAATATTTTATATATAATAGACAAACCTAACCCTAATACCTTATTATAACATAGCTATCTTTAATTATAACCTAATTAAATTAATCTATTATATAGGCTATCTTAACTTAATTAATCTAACCTAAGTTAATTATAAGCTATTAGGTCTAAAAGACCTAAAGAGGGTCCTAAAGGAAAGTTATTCCCTTAAATTAGACCAGGCTATATTCCTTACTGCCTTTATAGGTAACTTAAATATATATAAAGAGTGGCTTTTTAATATAGCCAAAAGGGTTATTACAGTAAAGAGGGTGCTGCTCTTAATATAAAGTATATCTGCATATAGAGTTAGATAAATATAAGGTAATAGTAGGGTTTAAAGGTTTAAAGGAATTAGGTTAACTTTTATATAAGTTAATCGGCAAAAGTTAAATTAACCTAAAGTTAATAATAACTAGCTCTACTAATTAAATGTATATATAAGGGCATATAACCAATTAACCTTATATCTAAGAACTGCAGTTAAAGTAATATCAGTAAAGAAGCAGTAGTTTAAACTGGGGTTAGCTGCTTTATATTATATTAGTATTTTTTTATTTTTTATTAAAATTAGTTTATTAGTTATTAAATAATATAGGGGATATTATTAGGGATTACTTTAGGTTGGCAAGAGGTAAGTCTATAAAGGAGAAGCTTGTAAAGTAAATACTATCTATAAACTCTAAGTCCTTATTATTCCATTGCTTAATAAAGTTAGTTTGTTGATAAACAGCCCTCGCTGAGAAAGACTGAGAGTCCTTTTTGTGACTAGCCTCGGTTGGTAACAGCTGGCATTTGATGAGACCATCGAGGCTCCTCTATTAGGGCTTCGTCCACAAGCCACCTAGCAAGAACACTCCGATTAATACCTCCAGTATACCCAGCACCTGCCACGGGCCCCGCATAGGCTAACCCTTTCTCCCGATCAATAGACCAGGCGGCAGCGTCGCTCGTGCCCAACAGCATTCCCAAACGAAACACGGTCCAATCTACCTCCAAATGGTCGATAGATTCGAAGTATTCTTGGACGGCTAGCATGTTCTGAAAACCACTGTTTGCGATGATCCGGATAAGTCCATTCATCAAGGCACGAGAAACCGAAGTCTGATCATCGGCACGGCGGATAGCATTCGTTCCTAAAGCAAAAAGACGAGATAAACCATGCTTCTGCATCAAGGGAACAATTGTTCTGTACCAATCGGCAAAAGCATTTCTTGGCTGTGCGACACTACTTGGCCCGAGCAGAGAGATAATAGCGCGCGATTGGGCGACAGCTCGCGACAAGGCATCGTGTGCACTTGAGTCTCCCTTCACAACCTTTACAATCACATGGTCAGGCTGTAGGTCGAATAGTGGAGAGTTTGTTTACGTACCTCAAGCAGTGCATTAGGGGCCAGGTCTTCGGGAACCTTGCTTGGGTTTCGACAAAACACGATTGTGCCTATCTTGCGATGGAGAAGTTCACGCACAACGCAAATACCAGCTGGCCCGGTACCGCCTAAGACAAGAACTTTACTACCAGCCATGACTGACAGCAGGTGTCGTAATCGCACTGGAATTCGATGGTGATGATGATGATGGTGAAAGTAAATAGAGGAGGTGGGAAAGATTAATGTGAAGCAATAGCTGGACAAAGAAGAATGAAGAGAGCACACTGAGCTCGAAGTTCTGATTGATGGCCACAACGTGGTGTTGAGCCGCTTTTATAAACACCCGCTGTGGCAAGGATTTATTTTGCATCCGAGATTACGTAGTCCGTCTGTAGACTGGAAACTTGATTTCTAATTGGACGTAACGTACACGATAAGCATGTGGATCAGTATACTGTGCGGCTAAAAATAGTATACTTAATCTTATTTAAATCTATTTTTAATATATTTTTATTTACTTTATTTTATATATAAAATCTTAACTATATTTTATAAAATCTATCCTTACTTAATACTATACTAAATAAAACAGCAAAAAGTTATAGAAATTATATTATAGTTCTTTTATAATGTATACAATAGGCTTGCCGATCAGACAAGCATGCCTATTAGTATACTGTGCAGCTAAAAGTAGCTTACCCTATATTATTTTAAACCTTAAATAGATTAGCTAAAAATCTATAAAAAATGTTTTTAAAAATGGTATAGCTATTTATATAAAGAAAGATTTTTATAAAAGTTTTAATTATTTTATTTTATGTAGAAAACCTCAAAATACAGTGTATTTTACAGTGTATATATACTTTAAGGTTTATAGCTATATTGAATTCTTTAAAAAGTCTACAGAAAATTAATAAAGCTTATTTTAAAACTTAGATATCTATTAATAAGATTTTAGCTATTTTAAGCCTAAATTAAGCTTCTTATATAATTTTAAAAATATGCCTTTAAGGTGAAAAGAGAATATCCATTAATTCCTCACTATTGATGAAAGTCTCGCAAGTACACTAAAGTACACCTTATACGGAATCCTCCTTACATAACCGTCCTTCTGTCCTCTTATATTACAAAGTTCATCAGCAAAGTACAGCTGAGATAAATCCTCCCACTCCTGGGCTCGACACCAGGGTCCGGGATCGTGACATACGTTGGCAGGCCGTGAATAGACTCGACCTTGCCTGTTGACCTGGCGTTGCTGTGGAATGGCCCTCTGCTATTGAAACTTCATCTAAACTGGCACGTATCAACTCTTACCTTTATTGTTGCCTCCGCCGTATCAGGCAAATCAACTGGCGCCATTTCGGAGACGCTATTATCAAGCCTGTCACGGAGTTATGCATACGAATTCGGATTTACTGGCAATAGGTCTGCATCCCCGACGGTGCGTGCATTAGCACTAACTCAATTCCAGGCCCTTGTCACACCCGAGAGAGCTCGACGCTGACCTCGTTACCAATGAGCTATACTAAGTACATAAATGTGTATGAAAATCAGCCCAGACAACACAAGGATATCAAAATTTCGGGATCGTCGTGGGACCCGAGATCCATACAATGTATTGAATACCTGTTGATACCTGTTGAACAAGATTTGTCATCAGCTACACGTATTGCTAACAAAGCTACGCTCCCCTACCACACTAGCACAAGCCCGGAACAGACCAATTTCTGTGCGCCGACAACATGCCGATTTGACAGGGCCCCGCCAAGCATCTTTAAAGTCATCGCATCGCACACACCTCAGCCTGGACTATTTCGACACATACTGATCCTGCTTCTTGTTCACCTCCCGTCAACCAAAGCAACAGCATTCAAAGCGCCCTGCACAAAGCCGACAGCAAAGCCACACGATCTCTCGCATCATCCCAGACCTAATCTCTGCTCGCTAGGATGGCAGATCTCCTCCGTGAAATCAAGGCGAAGTGGAGCCCCGAGCCACTTCCTCCACGCGGCACCTTCGACTGTCAAACTGTCCTCGTCACCGGCGGGACGGGTGGACTCGGTCTCGCTACCGCGAAACACTTTGCGACCCTCGGAGCTGCCAAAGTAATTATCACCTACCGCAATAAACCTAGAGCCGAAACAGCCAGGCAGCAGATCGAGACTGCTGCACGGGCTGCGGGGAGGCAACAGGTCGTGGTCGAGACCATGGAGTTGGATCTAACCCGGTATTCGTCGTGCACTTCCTTCTTTGACGAGCTTGTGCGGCGAACGAACAGCATTGATATTGTGATACTCAATGCCGGGACGTTTATTCCCGAGTTTATTATGAGTCCTGAGGGCTGGTACGTGGTTATTTCGTGTCTGCCGCGCTGGAATCTTGCTAACGACTGCCATTTGCTTAGGGAACAAACAATTCAAGCAAACACACTTTGCACCTCCCTCCTTGCCATTCTCCTCATAAAGTGGATGAAAGCAGGACGGCAGAACCGACAGTCGCCGGCAAGCATCGTCTTCGTAAGCTCGGGCCGGCATTTAACACCAGATATTTCCGAGTGGCCTGAGTGGGAGGAACGTGACGGAGGTATTCTGTTGCACTTCAAAGACGCGTCACACTGGCCTTCCACTGGTGCCCCGGATACTATGTATGCTACCAGTAAGCTGCTGTTGATGTACGCTTTCGAAGAAATCTGCAAGCTAGCTGTTGATGGAAAGGGAGAGTAAGTGATCTACCTTCCCTCCGCTGGAGGTCATCATTTTGACGGACGCTGACAATGCCCGCAACGCCAGACCCCAAGTTATCGTCAAGAGTGTTTGTCCGGGAATTTGCAATACGGACCTCTCCCGATCCCTAAAAAAGCGATCTCTCGTTGCTAAAATGGCGATCCCTATAATCATGAGCATTGTTGGAAAGTCGCCCGAGCTCGGCGCGAGGTACATATTAGCTGCGGCGTTGGCGGGGCCTGAGAAACATGTGAGTGCTCAACCCATAAGCTCAATCAATTACTTCGCACGATATTGGGTTTTCAAGGGCCACTGAACTGACCACGCCTTTCTTTCCAGGGAAAATTCATTCGCTTCTATCTGACAGACGAGGAATTCCGCATGTAAGTAACCCCGACGGATGCTAGCCCGCTCCCGTCTAAACGTCTTTACTTTTGCTAATCAAAAACGTATCTAGGCAGTCGATCCCCGTAATAACCAGTCCGGCCGGCAGGAGGGCTCAAGCAATGGTTTGGAAGGAGGTTAGTGCGGAGCTTGTGACTAAAGTTCCCGGTCTTCAAATCACCGCAAGCCAGTGATATCTACCATGGCTGGCATATTTTTTACGCTCTTCTTTTTCTTTCTTTTTCTTTCATCAGGGAAGGGGGGCATTCCAGATATGCGACTTTAGAACATAACATCTCAGTGTGTAATGGCGAAGCTGCATTAACTGAATTAGATAATGGAGAACCGTATTCTAATAAATTAAATTGCTTGGAGCTATTATATGGAACATCTTATTTAGAACGGCTAATACTCTCCGATATATCTACCGTGAAGTATAAGGCATTTGATAATATTTTAATATGCTAGGTAAATGTATCTAATTAACTCGCTCTAGATCAACCTTGAATATTCTTCTCTTTTCATTGTGTATAACCCTACCCAGTTTATCACACCAGCGTAAAATAAGAGTTATAGTCGTGTTACAGATTTATTGCATGTTCGACTGGTCTCGTATCACAGCCTCGTCTCGTTAAATACAACAAGGACAAGGAAGAATAAAGACAGGGAGAGAGAGATAAACCAGTCAATAATCTGCTTCTCCCTATCTTTCAATCATCATTCCCCTGAGGTTACCACGCCTGTATCCAACACTTCTTCATCACCCACTTCCCTCCTTGGAGGCTTGGATGCAATTACTGCATGGCCGTAATAGGGACAACTTTGCAGCATCTTGCGGAGCCACCTAAACATGGAATGGGCGCCGTCAGGGCGATTACCCAAAGTCCGTGCATAGCTTCCATGGAGCGGATGCAATGTGTATCCGTTTGACGGATGCCGGCAGTGTCCTTTAATAATCATAAATTAGAATCCACCAGGAGTAGATACAAATTGCATCCGTTCATGCGAGGGGCAAAGCACGCTTCCATTCCGGCTAGCTCGAAACGACAACCCCTGGGACCTCCAAACTAGAAGGAAACTTAGTTAGCCAAGTTCTGGTGTGAGAAGTGGCAATTTTCAAACAATTAATTCATAACAGCAGGTTAGCATCCATGCCACCTGTTATGGGTTAACGTACATAATAAGCTTGCATAATAAACAAGCATACATAATAAAAATCCCTTAACTTACATCATCTCTATTTAATTAATAGATTCTTAACTACAAAATATATCAGACCCTAATATTACAGGTAGAATCTTTCTTGCCCTTCTTGCCCTTTAAAGTAACCTAAAATTAAAGCTCTGATATACTATAGAGATCTATAAAGTTGGCCATATAATCCTATAGCGCCGGCAGAAGGGCATTTAATCTTAAAGCAATTAGGTCCTTAAGTTATATAAACTGTTTAATCTAGAGAAATAAATTATAATTTAGTCTATAATTTAGATTTATTAGGATTTTCTTCCTAACTATATAATATTAAAGAAATAGCTAATTAATTACTTACTAACTATAATTTATTACCTATTAGTAATTATTAGGCTTTTAACTTTATAAGGCAATATAAAGAGCTTAAGATATATTTCTTTATAAATATAATTATTAAAGAGCTAAATATAAAGATTTAAGTGCTATTTATAATTAATTTAGGCTTATAGAAAATATAATTACTAAATATAATATTTAATTAAATAAAATCTATAACTTTAATAAAACTGGCTTTCTTATAGGTATAATTATAAGTAAAATAGTTATTATAGATATAAATAGGTATAAAAGGCTAAAATTAATATAGCCTAGAAACTAAAAATAGATTATAGTTATTTAGGTAATTAATATAAAAGGCTAGATAATCCTACTATTTATTATAGATATAGGCTAATATTATCTTACTAATTAATACTAATAAAATAACCTTTTAGATAATTAAGCTATTATAATAAGTAATAATAGCTAAATAGATAATAAAATAAGCCTTAAGTAGCTAAAGTACTTTAATTAATATATAATTAAGGGATTAAAAAATTACTATTATCTTTTAATCCTTAATAGGCATAAAAGTTACTATTTAATTAACTTTAAGAGATATTATAAGGTAAATTAATTATTATACTTTATATACTACTTTATTTATCTTACCTACTTTAGCCTTTTAATATTAGGTGCTTTTTTATATTTAAATAGATATATAGTTAAGAAATTAAGTATTTAATTTAATACTTTATAACCTATATTTTTTAGATTAAGTTCTTTTTAGCCTTTTATACTGCCTTTTAAGTAACTATAATAAAGAGAAATATTAAAGAAGGCTTTAAAGAAGCCAGGATTATCTCTCTTAACCTAAAATTTATAGTCTTAAAGCTTAATATATAGCTATAGACCTTAATGCTAGTAAAAGAGGGGCTAACTAGCCTATACCTTAGGTTTTAAAGACCCTAAAGACTATACTTAAGGCTTAATTTTAGTTAAAATATCTTAAAAGATAAATTAAAAGGCCTTAAAGTAATTCTCTAAAATTAATTCTAAAAGCATTAAAGTTATTTTCTAAAGGAATTAAGGTAATTATATATAAAATAGCCTTACTAAAGGCTAAACTTTAAGATATTTAGCAGGTAAATAAGATATTAAGCTGGCAGTAAAGGGCAAAAAGAACCTAACTATAGAAAGGAGGGGCAATAATAGTAGAGGAAGGAAGGCAAGTAATTAATTAGATAGATAGTAGTATGTAGGTATAGTGGCCGAATTGTTAAGAGGTAGTAGCCAAGAAGGGTTGGCATAAGTGAAGGAAAGGCGCTATAGAATATGCAGTAAGACTGGCTATAATGCAAGAAGGTATTAGGTAGTTATTACAGTTTCTAATAGAGAATATAGTAATTAGTTTTAATTAATTTAGCGGTTTACTGCATTTTTATAGTGTTTTTAATTTTTAAAGGCTGAAATTTTTGTTATATAAGCTTATTATATATGTTATGTGAGTTATCTGGTTAAATTACTATGGTACACCAACTTAGGAAATTCAGTAGTCCCTATGGATATGCGCTAGGCTGATTCTGGCTACCTGACTGGTTACTCTCTGATAAGGATCTAACATCTTGCCTAGTGCATATGTACAGGGACAACTGAATCTCATCAGTTAGTGTAGTATAATAAATAAATAGATTTAATTAGAAAATTGAAATTCTATAAAGGTTGTTTTAGCTGTTTCTGCCTCTTAAAGATCTAACCTTAAATGGAGGAGTGTTTTAAGGCTTGTAAGCTTCTTAAAAACCAAGCTAGCTATAATGAATTCTATAAGAATTTACGATACCCAGCTTTAAGATATATAAGGCTTAAAATAAGCGGTGCCTTAAATTTTTAAATTAATCACTCTGAAGAAAGGGCCAAAATCCCAACTCTGGCTGTAAAACTGTTTCTCCTCCCACCTCAGTTCTGCAGGCTTATTGAACTTCTCTAGTTTCCTCTTAGCCGATATTGTATTATTCTTCCTTCTATATATTTATCTAAGAATAGTTACTTAGCTTTAGCTAATCCAAGTGAAGAGCCTCTACTCCAGCAAAACCCAAACACATTTTGATTATATCTGCATTACGGAGGTCCGAATCTAAAATTAAAGTTCTCAGCTTTCAAGCTCCCTGGGGCAAATGGGCCATATGTATACGTCCAATCACGATCTATTCCAAGAACTTCTGCAAAGAGCTCCACTGCCTCAGAACATAGTGTAAGAATGTTGCCCATTAACCCGTGGACAATTTGCATAAGATCCACTGAGCCGCACAACCTTTGATATATAAGCTACAAGTCATGTGACGTCAGTTTTGAGTTTGGTAGAATAAAAGCCAATGTTTGCTCACCAGATACCTCCCCTCCGTCAGTCGCCCAGGGGATGTGTCAGTTGACAAGTGCTGGCTTTCAGACATGGCTCCATGTGAATTTACGACGTTCCGTGCAGCCTCTTCGATTCTGGTGCATCCATTTAACAAATTCTCAAGGTCACAGCCATGGTAGACCAGAAGCTTTTCGATAGCCCTCACAAAGCCGGTAATTAGTGTTAAGTCTAAGTGTGCTTGGGGACCGGACGGGCTTTGAAGGATGGACGTGAAAATCGTGATAACTGCATACACAGCATGGTACATTATTTGCCTATCCGTCTTGTTAGCTTCAAAGATTTTCAATCTGAAGAGACATCTTTACCAGGAGAGGCTGAATGGCGGCGGTGACATTGTCTGGACAAGCCGGAGAGTCGACCGGGCTGCAGCGATTGGGACCTGTGCAAGCAAATTGAACGTGTCGTTATTTGAGGGCCCGAGACGATTTGTTGCCATGTTGATTCTTCCAGCTGCAGTGTAATACATAATGGTCAGTAGAAGCACTGGCAATTCTAGATGTGAACTACTCGGGCAACTATCATAAGCAGGTCGAATCTGCGGGGGCAGGCTCATCTTCCACATGTCAAGCTGGTGATTCAGCTCGGCTACCGCCCTATGGAGCAGCGTGTTGTTCATTTTGAAGGCCCGCTGAGAGTAAAGTTTTGTGGAAATGCGCGACTGGATCATGGCAAGTCCTGCCATGCATCGCAAAACGTTTATCCTGTCTTGCGTGCCTGGGAGGGCGTAATCGCTGGGACCGTCGCATAGGCCAATGGTAGGGAGATTCAAGTCTACGTCATTGCCGAATGTGGATGGTAATCCTTGTTTCATCATTTGGTCGCTGTCAATACAATAAGCAATCCAAAACACTCTCATATGCTGCTCAGCTGTTGTACGATCTAGTCTCTCATACCACCTTGTAGTGTGTAGACCTACAGCCTGTAGCGCTCTCGCGAGAGACGCGGTTATACTCGAAGTAGTCCGGGCATCCGCAGTTCCATGCATGAACATAGCCATGGAAAGTAGTGCTTGACAAGTTGAGATATCGCTGCCTCTGATAAGAAGCTCTGGGAAGATGGCGAATGCGTTTTTAAAATAACCCCATGCAATCGGAGTTAATTGGCCATGGGCACCGTGCTCTGTTTTCCACTGTATTGCCGTGGCAATAAGACCATTTGTGGTAGCCCATCTCGACGGGCTATCGTCGCAGTTTCTTGGGCCGGCAAGGAACTGTTGCTGGAGCAGTTCCGAGAGAGATTCCACAGTAAAGAGCGGGTAGAAGACGTTGATATCGTCTAGTGCGCTTGCAATAAAATGTTGCAGGAGGAATTGAGATTCCACAGAGGCGAAGACCTGTCTTCGGAATCCGCTTGGGTCCAATTGAGACCGAAACAAATCTACATCAGATTGACTTCCTGGCAGTTTTGGGAGCGACACTGGGGGGCGCTGGGACTCTTCGGTGTATGAGGCATAGAACTCTATGTCATTCGTGATATCCAAGGACTCCAAAATGCCGGTTGGTGCCTCTAGGTTTTCCAAAACTGCTTGGGAAGTGGGTTTTGTGCTTGGGGTCGACATGACAGAGGGAGATTGCCCGAGGATTATAGTAGGTTCAACTTGTAGGCCAGTCGATATGCCTCCTGAAAGGCTTGCCAAATGTTTCCCATTGTCATCGAAGTGGCCTCTGGAATCCACGTCAGGTGGCCGAGAGATAGCTGTCCGTTCTTGTGAGGGCTTAGCGCCAGGCGACGTTCTAAGCGAATACTCTACCTTGCTGAGCCGCTCTTCCAGCATAAGGATGTATTGCTTGCTAACAAAGTCATTCAGCTGGTCGAACATCTGAGCACGATACTATCTCTTACCTTTTCCCTGGCCCGCGTCTTCTTCGCTCTGCATATTCACAGTGCGTACTCTGCTCTATGCAGGGTGTGCAGCCGGGCGTTTCTCCATCACATTTGATCTTTCGTCTCTGACATCTGAGACATGCCTGCTGCAGTGATTAACGTTCAGACCGTGACATCGTCTGAGAAGCAATGGCACTCACATTTGTAACTCGCTTTTTGCTCTTGTCACTCCCAGTTGTTATTTGCTCTCCCTCCATGGCGTGAAATGGTGCGCAATACACTCTGGGGAAGATTCCGAGATGCAGGTTTGCAAAGGTCGCATCTGCCGTCATAATGGCTTCGCTAACGAATAAAGTTCAATAAACGACATATTACTCAGCTGCAGCGCTAGTTCCATCCCTGCGCGGATACTTTTTGCATCCGTTAACGCACTAACTATTCCCCACTTCATTCGTCTTTTGGTGGGGTATAAGTCCGGGGAATTCCGCCCCTGACTTCATTCGCATTCTGTAAATGGACAGTTAATGATCCACCTAAAAGGGCTACTCTAGAATAGTGGGCGCCATTTTGAGTTGCCTACAGGTAACCCCAGTATCAAGAGGAAATGTTGTAGGGTAGGCAGGATCTTCAGCCTTAGTAAATAACTGTTTTGTAATCGAGCTATGTACTCTAAGTAACTTTAAGGGATAAAAATCAATTAACACACTACAATTGCTTATTATATTCACCAAACCCTTTAGGTAGACTTAGTGCAACAGGAAGTCTCTGTGGGTCTGTTGATTACTCATTTGCAGACCCCCCGTCCATCTTTGTTTATCAGAACTGGGTGCTCCAAAAGCAAACAGCGAACTTCGAAACTGGAGTTAGTAGGCCAGCGAACCGCTTTAAATATGGATGTAACTTGTGTGGCCCAGGTTGACCAATCTGCTGGGGTTGTTAGGGAAGCACATTGAGATGAGAAGTGCAAGGCAATTCAGATATAGGCAAGGTATGAAAGAAGAATAGTATTGTAGTATGTACAAAGAATCGCGCCTACTGCGCTTTTAAAAAGCACTATCAACAAAGCAAACCAGCCTTATCAGCCTCGCTCATCACCCCCAAACTCTGGTTATTGTGTCTCTCAACAGCGATTGGTGTCTACAAACAAAGAGGAACCGTAAGATTAATGTCGCCATTACCCATCAGTATAGATTTCCAGGTGTCGAATTCCTTCCTTGCCCTAGTTTCTAAGCACTAGATCTTGCTGGGGCAAGCACTATACTTAAAGTCCTTCGCCGAGTAGCTTGGGTAGGGCAATCCGAGAAGGTCAATTAAGTGAGTGAGGGGATCCGTGCCGACTCCATGCGCAGGTATGACCCTATATTAAGATTGTCAGCAGTCTTATTTCTGAAATCCATTTGCCTTGATCTCGTTGGATCCGTCAATGGAAAAGTGGAACGTACAGCGAGCTTTTGGCAACCTGATCTTTGGACAGCTTGTTGAGGAATTCGGCAGCCTCAGTGTGATCAATAAAAAAGTCGGCATTTTCAAAGTGCGGGTTCCAGTAGTCAGCCTCAAATACAGCCATGGTGCTGTTCTCAGTGGGGCAGATTGGCGTAATTGCAGCGTATGCTTGGTCAAATGCATGAGCAGAGCCTTCTAAGTGGACAATGGTGACCTGGTTACGAGAGTCTTTGAAAGCAATTGGTTTATCAGCACTGCCAAAGGTTAGCAAGAAGAGGTTCCTGGTATGTCCATAGCCACTAAATTACCTGTAGGTAACGAATTGAATGCCAGGAATATTGGAATAATACTCTTGGGCCTGATCAAGAACGACGGCCTTTGCTCCAGCAGCAATATAATCTTTGAGCCCCAAGGCATGGTCATGGTGGTGGTGGGAAGGCTAACAGCGTTGCATTCATTAGTAATTTCCAAACGCTGTAGGAGCGATTAACTTACCCATACATGGGTGATTGTTTTTCCAAGGGTCTCCTGAGCCCACTGCAGGACAAGGTGGCTTTGATGTGGGGGGCAATCGATGGCAAGCACTTCGTTCTCGAATTCGACGACAACTTGCTGATAGCCAGTACCATCGGGGAAGTTCAGGAACCAAACCTCCGGCATGTTGGGTAGGGGAGTTGTGGCCGAGATATTCGCCAGTGTTCCTCGATAAGCACCCGACCATAGGTAGTTTGTGTACCACTCTCCAATTTCTGAAAAGTCATACGAGCTGTCTCGTGTTGGGTAACTCGTGGCATCTTGACCTTGGGGTCCGTCAAAGAGCTTCGGATCCAAGTCAGGATTGACAATCACTGTGGACACCTGATAATCCATGAGGATGTGTTGTTTGTTGTAGATTGTCTTGAAGCGGCCGGGGAACTTGACACCATCGACAGTAGTGTAGTTATAAACCACTAAATCTTGTGTCGAATTGCCATATATTCCATGGTACTCATAAGAACGAATGATGTATGGCAGTTTGGTTTCTGGGTCGAAGAGCACCGTAAGATCCAGAGTTTTATCGTGTACTATAGAGCATAAGATTGGGGATGGACATTTGAAGGATATTCTCACCAGCGGGTAATTTTCGACCCATACCAGCGTCTTCGAGACTTGTAGAGTAGTTGTTTGACAGAATCTGGGACCAGTTGATTCCTTGAAACGAACTGGTGTCTCAGAGACAACTTACTGTAGAGAGCAACTTGGGAGACATTCTTTCTGCATCAAATATGATATAGGCGGCCAGCAAACCTATCAGACAAATAAGCATCGTTCAGCAACGATCGGTTCACAAGACTTACTATCAATATAACCTTGTGGTGGTGAATTAGGCACAAACAAATTCATGGTGCCATCTACGACGGCAGCATAGCCCTTCTCGCCACCCTGCACGGCAAGCGAGTATTTGAAAGGGTCGAGAGCTGGCCGCGCCAGGAGGAACATCTCTACATGATCGTTAATTGCGCTCTATGAGCTCACAGGATCAATACATACCACCCGATTCGTGGAATCTGTCAATGCGCTGCTTTATATGAGGCTGGTCATAGGAGAAGGATATGTTCTGGCTTCCAGCGGGCGATATCATATTGTCGACTCCCTTCATGGAATATGCCTCCATTAAGGTCCTTGTGCGATACACTCTGTGCAGTGTTAGCTAATAGGCACCAAGATCAATCACACGGTGCGGAATCCTTACGTGTTGCCGATGTACGTGACCGCCGACACATTTTCAAGCCGGTTAGATCCCCCGAGGGCTTTAATCCCATCGAGCAGCACGTCTGGAGCTTGTTTCGCGCAATGCGGTTTCCCAGCAGCAATTGATCCGCACGCGAGTGCTGTGATCATTAAACATTTCATGTCGAACATGATGAAGGGGACTTAAAAGCGAAACAGAATAGTAGCTTAATCGGTATGAAGACGCCAGTGTTTACCTACTAATGCTGTGAAGGAGAACAACAAGAGACAACCATGGAGATCAGGGCGCTGTATTTAAGAAGCCATTCTATTCAGCAACGGGGCTCAAGGAGGCGAGTTCATAGACCCTCACACGGTCACATCTAACCAAGCTCATCAGCAGAATTTCGCCGACGTCACGATCAGCTTCAGATTGAGGAGCCAACATTTCAAATCAGAAGTACTAATACCTATTGGAAATTCGCATGTATAGCACGACTCAGGACGGGGCCCGTGGGTGTATCGAACGGTGGGCCTATGGGGTTCCACGGGTTCAGAATGAATCCGTCTTATGCATGTCAAACTTTAATACTTGCTCCTGACTCCTGAGAGGCAACCCCCCCACGAGTTCTACTACGGCACTAACCCGCATAAAGCATCATCCCTTTGATAATTTCACTTGAGACCAGGGCACTGTCTCCCTGCCAAGGACATTCTTCCTGGCGGGGTAACATCAACAAGTAACTACATATACTATAGAGAAAATTGCCCGCAGCTATATGACCGCAAAATGAACATCTTATTGTACTTATGCAAGGGTATAACACACTCCGGGGTAACACCGTAACATAAGATAATACAGACCCTTTTGGCACACCAGTGAACATTATAACAGTCTCTCAACATTAAGTTAATTTATGGCTTGGCAGATGGTATCAAGCCGCAGGTGACAGGTCGATCTGCCAAGCCACCAGCTTTTAAGTCAAAGTTCATGTTCATTAAAACACGGATAGGGATTAGCACTTTATTTCGCCAGGAAAACACATCCCGGAGGGCCGGCATACTGAGCTATTTTCATCTCGAACATTCTGGTAGGTCTCTGCCTCATTTCTCTCATTTATCTTTGAACTCATTCTCACAACGCTGGAATCATTTGTACAGTGCTATATTATCCTTTATTCCATGGATGAACGGATGACCTTCCAAGATAACTGTGTAAGGCTTTGTTGTCGGCCAAGGGCACATATTCCCTGATCAACCGGGCCAGTTGGGGTTCGTGGTGGCCGAGCTTCCTATTAGCAACGAGTCCCAGTGCTCAACGATGCAGCTGTCCTCATAACGGTACACGTCTGTAAGGACCGAAGTGTTGGTGATGCCTGCACAGGGCTGTTCGGGACAACCTTGTAGTGGAGAGAGCAGATGGGCTGAGAGGCAATAGATTTACCACAGGAAAACAGGTCGCTGATAATCGTGATGTTGACGAGTGGCAACAGGGCTGTGAGGAATGCCACATTCTCATCGTAGGTTCCAGTCGATTGGGTGTGTTCGATCAGATCTGGTGAGACGTATTTTGCGAAAGCGCCGGCTACGTCTTTCTTGATATGTAGCTGTTGATTGTACTCTTGGAAGAGCGCAAGCCGTTTGGCGTCGGAGATGGGAATTTTACCATGACCACAGTAGCTTGTCTTCTGGCTGGCAGGACTATAGGGGGTGGCAGCGACGAAAAGAATGGCAAAAGCCACAATCTTTAGAATGTTGGTGAGGGTCATCTTGTAGATCACGAACATGCCATGTTCCGTTTTAATGGGGCTGCAAAGGAGGGAATCGATGACCTTATATAGTCCTACCTGGCGCTCGGGTCACGAGTACGACTTCACGAAAATATTTCGCTGATGCCTTTTCAGCAATTCGCGCGATGCGACCTTTAAAGTTCAACAATGACAAGTTAATTTCGGATTTGACTTAATCTCTCATACTGACTGACTGGTAACAGACAACTGCTGGGTAAGTGGAAGGTAAGCGCTCGTTTGCCTAGAGGGGATTGGGATTAGGGGATGCAAGATGGGTGGGGACTCTGGGGAGGCCGAGCGGGAGCCGGTGCAATTTCTGCCCGTCGACACAACGGAGCTAGACGGTATTGAAACCCGTCGCCGCGATCAGACATTCACCCGAGTCACGATGGTGCGGCTACAAGTTTCATCCGGCCAGGACAACAGATCACCCCACTGGATCATGCTTGTATTACAAGATGGCGGAGGCGAATGGAAATTCATGCACAGCCCCACCTTAAGCCTCTGCATTTGTAATTTATATACGGAGTACTTAAACCAAGCGGTCAACACCATGATCCCTAGGCGAGCTTGGATATATAAATGCCTGCTTCTATAGGCAACTCTTTCACCATCTTCTCCAGCAGGGCACGCACAGTTCGCTTATCCCAGCCTAGGCAAAACTCCAAGTGCTAATACTACAGAGAATCTTATAACCGTCATGGAAGCGGCAAAGGCAGCCGGAGTGGACCAAAACGATGATGTTACCCGTGGCCGTACATTCTGGTACGCCAAGTTGACTTTCAAGGACAATGCTGCTCGCGACAAGGTAATCTCGTCTTTTTTCCATATCTGCACCGGGCTTGCCTAACATCGACCCTTACCTAGATGATCCAGCTCGTAAGCGAACAGGCCGAGTACGGTTTCGAGCACGAGCACGGCACACTCAAATACGGCTGCCTAACCTCTGCTGAGAACCCTGACGATCCCTTCATGTGGGCAATGGAAGAGTATGTCTAGTTTGATGCTGCATAGACTAGAAAATCCCAGGCTAAGAAATGGGTCTTTAGTTATGCCAATGGGCACGCGATACGTTTTCATTCTTCAGCAGATAGGATGAAACCAGTTTTCGGGTACATCGGCAGCGGCGTCATGGCTGGTCCTCTGCAGAAGACTACTGTTGTGTTTTTCAAAGGTCTCGAGATACTGAAACCCGAAATCGCCCAGGTCGACCACCCATTCGTACAGATAACGGATATTGACCTCAAAGCACGCCTCGGTCCCGAGGAAGTAAAGCTCTGGTCAAGCGTTGTCGAAGCTGCAAATAAAGAGCTGCATGTGTTGTTCTTTGGGATTGGACTGAGTTCTGGGAATGATTCCAGGCTAATTATTATTACTGCTTATACGAGCCAGGAAACCTTTAACGATTCCAAGGTCAAGATCAAGGATGCAGCTCAGCCAACTCTAACTGCTTTAGAGAGTAAGATGGGAGAGATCAAGACGGATTTGTTAGAGTTAAAGGGAGGCTTCCTGTATAAGGAACTAAAGGCTTGATTTTATAGAAGTATATAGATATACTATTTTCTTCTTTCAGCGCAAACCATGAGTCAGATATTACTTACACATTCTTAGTTTTGGAAATAAAATTGACGGGAAACTGGACGATGGATCAACAGTTCTCAATAGTGTTGAAGAAGAGGTAGTGAGGCACAAAAACTTGCCTCTAAAGATTGGGCTGATGCTGTTCAATACTACAAACAGACAAGCAGTGCTGAGACTTATCCCGAGGTTATCGAAGTTACCCTTCGAGTTCCGAGGTCTCGGTAGTGGATAGCTCTAACCGCATCATCATGAATACAAAATGTCGACTCATGCTTGGCGAAAGCGGAATTTAACTTCGCTAGCTCTGTGACTCGGCTTCAGAAGCCGAATCAGCAGGGATTCCAGGAGCTGACCAACAAACAACACTGAACAACATATGAACCCGCCGTACTCAAGCTGCGGATACGATAGTGCTCAACTTCGAGAGCTTTACCAGTGGAACATTACCTCAAGACAGCATGCGCAGATGTGGTGTCTGGATTGTTGTAGAACCGCACCATCGATGCTGCGATCTGTTGTTTGAACCTGTCAGATAACAAGGACTGTCTACATACTGGAAGAACCTTGTCTTGCTTACCAAACCCTTGTGGTTCCGAAATTTGGTGTTGCAGAAGTGTATCGTTAGGTTCGTACTTCCCTAACTACAAGAGCCGAGGGGCTTGGTTGCTGATTGCGGTGGACTCAATTAGTTCGTTTTCTGATTACTCATTTCGTCGATTGCAGGTCAGTGCACATTTTCTGTCGGGTTTAATTTGTTTCCGAAACCCCGGGTAGTCTGTGCGGATAGAGAAGCTTTTGGTTCCAGGTGGTGATATGGAGCCTGATGGTTCCTTGTACTGAATTGGCTAGTTCAGGCCGTACGTGTGGGTCCCCTCTGAAAAAGGATGACTTATAGAACTCAATATTATAAAGTCAAGCTGAGGCAACTATAAATACTTCTGACTGCACCAACGTTACCAGCTCACTCTCAACATCCTGTCTATCATGTCTTCCAAAGACACTGTACCACCGAGACATCAGATTCCAACTTTAGCTATTGGTCTCAATGCAACGGTAAAGTCTTTGCTTTGAAGGAAATACTCCTGAGTAGTGACCTGCTGATATGGCGCAAAAACTAATCAACCAACCCTGACACTTGTAGGGCGATGTTGAGTGAAAAACGGTAATCAGATCAACATCTATTCGCCCTTCATCATGCCGTTGTAATCATCATTATGAAGAAGAAAAAATTAGAAAGTGAGCCAGTGGTAAGCAAATATTGTCTATCTGATGCAAATCTCAGCTGCGTTAGGTTTGTTTATACAATACGTGCTTTCGGCCATTCTAAACTTTTAGCAAATGCAGATAAATCTCTCAAACGGTACTCAATATCTGCAAGGAGATATTTACTCCAGCCATGGAGACACCAGAAGTTGCGGTCTGCCACGGCTAAGATAGGCGTAAAATAAGCAAGCATAAGCAATGCGTATGGCCTGAGCTGTTTCATGTCAGCCATAAAGGCATCCGAGAAATGATGCGGCCATAGAACTACATTCTCCAGTTCCACGTTGATACCTGCCATCGCAACGTTGATAGCCGTTATGCGCAAGCAAGAAAGCGCATCTTCGGCTTTTACAATATGCATCATATCCACCTGTCCCTGTAGAAAGACCTTAAGATGGTCAATCGCTTCGAAGGTGTCGGCCGGGAGCGGTGAAACCTCAAGCGAAGGCCTCTGATACAGCAAGAGATATCAGCAACCGCTATCACGATATTCTAAGCTCCCCAACGCTCCGGGGACTGGAGTCGGTCCGGAAGATCGTCAGTGAAGCTATTGTGCTTGAAGATATCGTGAGAAATCACGTTGAAGATCGCCAAGGGCGTATCGAGAAGAGATATCACCAAAGAAAGCGCGACAAGGGAGCAAAACCGGTAGGAGAATATATTCACAATGTGAGCTTAGAAGAGCTTCGAGAACAGCATACTGAGGATGTAAATGCAGGAAATAAGGCACAACAGCGACTTCAGCTTCGGAATCTTCGATCTTTTGCAATCCGGCAGATGGAGATAAGAGATGAGTAGCGGAAGAAGAAGGAGGTTATCTTCAACGGCGTTGAAAAGAGGTTACAGTTTAAACAGTGGCTCAAACACACCGGAAAGGATGTTGAATATGCCTCATATGACGCCTCACGAGCTGAGATACGTTCTCAACTGAATAAGAAGGAGGATTTCTTTACGATCGATACCCAGCTTGCCCCGGAAGCCCGTGAGGCTATTCGCAAAACACGCTTTGCAGATAAGCCCCTCTCGTCAGCAGATTTATCACGCCTTCTCTGCAGCGATGATACCGTCGATTTTACGCTCACACAACCGCCGGCTGATGAGGATGAGGATGAAGATATCTATCTGATGAAGATGATCTCGAGATGCCCTCATCGCCGCCCTGCCTACCCGACCGCGAGTCCCCCATTCTAACGATACCCTCAACACCATGCCCGCTTCAACGCCACGCCCGATATGACGATGCTTTCATAAATCGCATGATAGAGGAAGCCGAAGCCTTAGAGGCCACTCAGGCACTTTACGATGAACAATAATACCCCCAAATTGCGTGAGAAATGCATGAGAAGTCGTTCTCAATTAGGAAGCCATTTGGGCGCCGCAGCAGTCATTTCGCCCGGTCATATACAGTCAATAGCAAACATATTATCACAAGAAGCTTCGTTTCTATGATTCCAGCAATTTTCACATTTTTTGACCTGATGAGAGTGTTGAAGAACAGCAAATGCCGCAAACAGCACCAAAAACCGGGCCCTTCGGTTGTGTCAGATATTAAGGTGAATTGTGTATATTTCTTGATTGTGTCGCAATCGAAGGACTATTGAGACCTTATATCTTCGACTGGTTCCTTCTAGGACTTGAGTCCTAGATGAAAAACCTACGATCTAAGTTTAGGTCTTCAAACTTTAATCCTAAACCTTAATCCTGAAATTGAGGGTGAACCCTCCAACATTCAACAAGAGGACGGGCATAGGTGGAGCCCAAACTTGGGAGCGGTGCGAGCATTGATTAAGTTTGCGATAAGCACAGGCCGTTTGGATGCTACAGAGACATAAAAAACATACTAACAAGCTAAACAAGATAATACAGCAAGAACTAATATAGTATAGCCTCTGGTAGACAGACCAGGCTTCAGCTGCTGGAGATAGGACGCTGAACACTTGAAGAATTTGGCCTTCAAGCAGGCCTGTCGCAGGGACAAGCAAGACTAGGGAAAGTGGCAAGGTGTAAGGACTGGTGAGTTAAGGTTGTAAGGGGCAAAATGAGGGGAATAACAATGTAACGAGATATAACGTTGTGGGCCCTATGAGGCGTATCCTCCCGGGCGGAATAAATTCATTCATTCATCCCAAAGAGACACGGGCATGACTTTTGTAACATCTGATTGGATAGGACCCTCTTTTGTTAGCACATCTCGGTTATATCGACGGCTCTAATTTGTACCTAGAGTTTTCAAACTTTAGTTGACTGACGCGACGCTCTCCATCAGATAATTAGCTATCCATCGCTAGTCTCCCAGCACTTAACAATAACAACTTTCATTATGTCCCAATCCGAGCCTCCTCATAACTCAGAGCAATTCAAGACGCCGAACCCGGCGGTCCAGCCCGAGCGAGCAATCACATCCTCGAAAATGACAGCGACAGACCCGACCGGCCAGGTTCGGCCCACCGCTACTTCCGGATAGACCACAGTCAGCTACCAGCACCGCGACAAGTATCTGCGCAACCAAGCATCCGGAGGCGAAGGAGTCAGTGGGAGCTGGTTGAGAGCAACGAGGAGGTTCTTTCTTGTATAACAGTTAGGAAATAAAGGTGTAGATAGCTGCATTCGAGGGCGTAATAGAGTTGGCCTTGTTCTGTATGGAAACCAGTCCTTATTTTGACGCCTGTGCAAGACCTGTTCAAGGGGGCTGACCCGAACTAATTGCTTCTACACTGAAAAGGAGATCTTATTAGCGAGTGGTTTCACCGCCTTTGCGGGGATGTAGCTATGGGTGGACGGAAATCTAGCGAATCAGGTGCTACAAAAGTCATGCCCGTATAAAGAGTCGCCCGTGTAGCCAGAATGTCGTGCCCGTATAACAACTCCCCTGTGAATATACCAATTTCACTGCAACAGGGCCTCCTTGGCCGAAGCCGGCCTTAAACACAATACCGTCCCAGCCGCATTCACTCTTTGCGGGGTTAACAAAGACGGTGTGACCGGGATCAATTTGATTCCGACTACCTGATCGTTAAGCCGCATCCACTTGCTGGGTATCGAGTCATTGAATAAGACAGCGTAGCCGGGATCAATTTGGTTCCGACTACCTACCTGATTCATAAGCCGCACTATTTCATACGCGTGTTTCCTTTCCAGCTAAGCCACAATTCCCCTGTAAAGTATAACAACATAATCCTAGTTTGGATTGAGATTATCACCATAAACTTCCAGATTGAACTATCGAGAATCCGCAGTGACAAGTATTAGACCCATTATGGGATACCTGAGTCTCCCGAGAGACAACATGGAGGAGGGATACTCGTTGTTAAGCCTACTATTAGACGGAAGTGCCGGAGCAGATTCAAAGCTCAATCTACTTTGCCCCATCAGTGATCATGATTGTTGTAGAGGATGACGACAGTTTCCATTGATTGTGAGCTCCTACGTAACGGACACGCGTCAATGAACAGTATTGTTGTCGAAGCGGAGGCAAGGAATCTACGTAGAGAGTAGAGGCCTATTTAAAGACAGTAGGATGCAGTTTATTGCTCTATCTATTTTCAATTATCCTGAGCTGTACAACTCGATTGCCCACAACATCACCAAAATGACTGGAATCAATATGTTTTTGCAGCTGTTACTCTTTTTAGCGCTGCCAATCCAGCTTCATGCATTAATTCCACATCATGGACTTCCTAAAGCAGTTCCCGAATTGCTTGATCCACCTCAGACAGCTGAGGTGTATCTTATTCGCCGATACTCGCATTCTCACAGTGTCCTTTCAGGACATATAACCTTCCGACTGCCGATAAATGGAAATTCTACTGGTGGAGAGTTCACATTCTTCTTGTATAGTTCTGGAACCGGTTCAAATGTCGCTGTCTCTCCCCACATGCACAAATATCATTATGAATGCTTTTTCAACATCAAAGGTCGTGTGCAAATTTGGGCTCAGCATGAAAATGAGATGCAAGAAGCACGAGTGCTTACTCAAGGGGACTTTGGGTCGTGGGCGACCTACACGAACCACACTTTTCAGTTCATCGACCCTGACTCCGAGGTGCTTGCCGTTGTTGCGCCGGGAGGATTTGAGAAGTTGATGGACGTCATTGGCAAGCAATGGAACACGACTACCAATACGCCATATTCAAATGCCTATATTGAAGAAGGAGCAAATGGTACTGGCAGTGTACCAGTCTCTGAAGTTCAGCAACTCACGTACTTGGATGTTTGGTCTCAACCTGACTTTGTCCCACGACGAGACCTTTTGAACGGCACTACACCGAGTAACGCAGCTTGGCACGACGGGCCCAACTACCTTGGAAATGACAGCGACACTTCGTACTGGGTCGCAAATGGATACGGACCCAAGTACCTCAACAAGGCCATGACCGGTTATTATCAGATTGTGCAGCCGCTAATTACTCCAGAGTCCTCAGGGAACTATAGCTTTACACAATCGACCATCACAATCAACGGGCCACCATCTGATATATCGTCGCTTCCTTATTTCAGCTTACCTCATGGAAGCGCCTTCATGGTACTGGAGGGTACCCTTACCGTTCATATCCAAGGATATCACCCGGTCACGCTTGTTTGGGGAGATTTGATGTATGTGCCTAAAAACACTAGCTTCACTTACTATACCTCAACTCATTGGTGTAAATTTCTTTATGTCTCTGGTGGGAACAACTGCTTGGACACAAAGCTGATTAAAGGCGGGGCCGCTTACAATAGTGTTGTCTTTCCTCCTAATTAAGTTAATACTAGGGTACCCCTCAATGGAAAATAAAGGATTAATATCTTAGATATTATATCGTTGTCTTTCTAGTATATATTTTAAAAACCCTTTCCGAAGATTGAATTTATCACAAATACCTAAGGAGTTCCATAAGTATATCTTATTCTGAAGTGCATGCAGAACGCTTCCCCCTTCTCCATGGCGGGCTTAATGATCTTATTCTCAAAGCTATGAAACATGGGAAGTCTCTCATGCTGTCGAGCCGACTGAAGGGGTTGCGATCTATTTTATACATACCAGAATTGGAAAGGTACAGATTTTAGTAAGAGAAGAACTCAACGATATCAGTTCAGCACTATTTTAGTAGATCCTGGTAATTTGGCATTAACTTACTACCGGACTTGGAGTCCGGGATTGTCCATACGGAAATTCCGGGACACCATACAACCTTTGTTCAGTGATAGCCAAAGGCCTCTAATATATGCAACATAAAAGCAAAGTCCTCCTATCTTCTTTACGGTCCTAGTACCTCAGTAGTTAAAAGCAGATTTAAGTGTCAGCTACAATCAGACTGCATATATCTATTTATCAACCACCAAGATACAGCCTCATATTAGAAGGCCATAAAAACCCATTCCTACACCAAAGCAAGCATAAGACGAAATTACAACAGCAACCTATATAGAAAATGCACTCAGAGTCGCACACGACAAGTATTCTACACAAAATCCACACTCTTTAAAGGCACATCAAGATGCCCACTCCCATCTTCCTGGCGGTAATACCAGGTCAGTTCTTCATATAGAGCCGTTCCCATTAACTTAAGCATCGGCTAGGTCTAATACTCTCACGTCTGTCGACAGCAACACATATCTTAACCTTCTAGGCAAGTTTAGTGCCAAAATCTTTAGTCACTCCAAGCCAAAGATCGCACAAGCTATCCAGATTACAATATCAAAAGGCTAGAACTATAGCGAAAACTCCCAAACTAAAAAGGAGTTTACTCAAAAGGTCTGCAAACAGTTCACTCCATCGGTATCAAACTTATTCGATTCACCAACTCTAGCACCAAAAAAAAACACTACAGTTCTTAGGGCAGCTTTAGCTATTACCAAAAGACAAAAGATACTTATCTTCAGTAATAGCTACCACAGGAGTACACTCATATTTCCGATAGCTCTAATACGTAATACAACCGCGCCTTATATAAACCTGCCACACGACTTTATGTATGCCCCTTATAACAATATCCCCAAGACCAGTGCAATTTTAAACGACCTCCCACCAGACCCTTACGGCAATCCTGGTTAAGCCGGTTCAAGAATCTGCTAGTTGCAGACCGGCAACCAAGGAATTCCTACACTTCCTTCGCAAGATCGCCAACAAGTAAGGTGCTATCCTGATATTCAATAAGATCATATATTCGCAACTAGGTTATTCCAGATACAGCACTACTCAAGGCATCCAAGGCGATTTTATCACATTCAGCAAATACATTAATAGCAGTATAACCTTTAGAGCATTTAGAGGTTATAGAGACTTAATAGATCTTTTCAATCCCACTAAGAATCGATTATTCCATCCCGATACCTACAACAACAATATTCTTAGTATACACGCAGGGCTTATTGGCCTAGACATCTACAATACATCTAAAGTCAATCAATTAAATAAGCTTAGTAAATACTTAAAGACCAAAGTCCAATAAATCTTAATCGATAAGGGTTTATACCCAATACAGTTAAAAACGCCTTATCACCCCTCATTAAGGTTAATAGCTTGTAACACAATATTACTATATACCCTAAAGAGGACCTAACGGCTTAAATAGATCTCCCACCTATATTCATCACCTCACGAGAGAGCATACTTAATACATATTTCTCAGGTCCCGATACAGCCAAATAGCAAGGGTTATATCACCATCACATACTAGCCAGAAACATCCATATTGCTATAAGGGGCTATACGCCTCTTACCATCTGCGCCAATAAAGCAAACATACATAACTATACCAATGCCAAAATCTAGCTTGCTCTCCATATAAGTAGACAAGTTCTTAGTCGATATTAATCCAGTAACATAACTTCTATCTCTCTAACTGCAGTTTTTAAAGCGCCTTATTACAAATAGATACATTCTTATACTTATAGCCTAAAGTAAGAACCTTATTAAATCCTCCTATTATAGATAAAAAGCTTAATAATTAGTACTATTCTTTACTAATATATTAGAAATTAACTTATTATTTATTTATTTTAAATACTTCTTTAGTTACTAGCTATTTATAAATTAAGCCTGCAGTCTTAGACCTATAACCTACTTATAAGTTATATAGGCTAATGTGGTTAATAAGCATGTGCTGCAAATAAATATATACTACAGTTTTCTCTCTTATATCTAACTTTTTATTTAATTAATTAATTTATAACTACCTAATACATTAAAACGTTTAGATAAAGCTAAAACCCTTTTTACCCTTTAGGCTCTTTAAAATAACCTAAAATTAAATACCTAGTATATTATTAAGATATATAAAATTAATAAATATTACTTATATTACTGATAATAGGGTACTTAATTATAAAATAATTTTATCTTTAAATTATAAAAACTATTTAATTTAAAGAAATAAATAATAATCTAATTTATTTTTAATTTAGATTTATAAGGATTTCCTTTATAATTATATTTTATAGAAAAAATAGCTAATTTCCTATTAATTAATTATAATATATTACCTATTAATAGGTATTAAGCTTATAACTTTATAAAGTAATAATTAAAGCTAAAGATATATTTATTTTAAAGATATAACTATTAAAAAGCTAAATATAAAGATTTAATTATTATTTATAGCTAATTTAGGCTTATATAGAATATAATTATAAAGTATAATATTTAATTAAATAATATTTAGAATTTTAATAAGATTAACTTTATAATAGGCTTTATTATAGCTAGAATAGCTATA